AAGGGAGGCAGCTCTCCACTGTCTTTCCATCAGGAGCAAGGATGGAGGCATGATATTTTGGTAGGACAAGGGGTAATGGATTTAAGCTGTAGGCGGGTAGATTTAGACTAGATATTAGGAAAAAATTCCTTACTATGAGGATGGTGAGGCACTGGCACAGGTTGCACAGAGAAGCTATGGATGCCCCATCCTTGGAAGTGTCCAAGGCCAGGTTGGATGGAGCTTTGAGCAACACAGACTAACAGGTGCCATCTCTGCCCACGGCAGGGAGGTTGGAAGGAGCCCATGCCAGGGCTCCAAAGGCATCACAGATGTGCATCTATGGGGGAGCCTGAGACAGGGACCTCTCATACAGCAGCAAAGAGCCCAGTTCTACAAAGGAATCCTCACTGTGCTGGCTTTGCTGGAGGAGAGGCTCCTGAGCCTACGCTTCCCAAGGTGGCAGCTGATCTCCGCTCGGTGGCAGCCAGTGTGAAACACGAGGGCTTGATTTTCAGAAGGTGGGAGGCTTAACACTTGCTGAAAATAAGACCCATTTAAGTTGTCACGACAGCAGTCACCTTGAAAGATTTAGGCCACGCTGTCTGGTTTGCTGGTCGTCCCCCCCTCACCGCCACATTTATCAACCCTCCCAACAATTGCCTCCCCTTCAAAAAGCTGTTTGGTTTTGATCTCCCCATGAAAGTTAAGGTATCACATTGGTTAACATTATTGCTCCTCCAAACTTTTCCCACTCCTGGCCCACACAGGGCTGAGGATAACCCCTTCCCTTCTGCCTCAGCATCACTTATCAAAATCACAGAGTGAAGGAGGCACGACACAATTCGGTTTTAACATTAATCTTCCCACTGGCTTCTCATTACTTTGCCAATAAGATGATCTTCCTCACACCACATTTCGATATATTTGACATCTGTCATAAAACTCAGGTCACACATATCTGTCTTCTGGTAAAATGAGTCATCCTACAGAGACCCATACTATGCTGTTCAGGTCTTGCCAGAAATAATTATTGATATATTGTCAACACATCCAGCCTACGGTATTAACAGGAGTCATAAATTACCAGCCTTTTTTCTTCCCTCTACCTAGCAAGGAAATGAGGGGACATACAGCAGGAAAGCAGGTACATGGCATTTGGGTGATGGATCCAGCCACGGCCATTCACTGCTTTCTAGAAGCTCCGCACAATTTAATTGTATTATTGTATCAAATCATTCAAAGCTCATAATAACTTTCTCTTTGTTTTGGTCCCCTTTGGTACCATACAGGTCATGATCTCCCATCGAACCAACCACCTAACTCCCCAAAACCTGTAGCTGATAAACAGTAGCTATTTAGGGAAGAAAGGGTACAGATAGAAGTTGTACTATCCTAAGTGTAATGTCATTGGCTTCACTGAAGACAGAATGTTTAACCTGCTCTTGGTATTTGTGCAGGACAAAGGCAACTTTTTTGTTTCATCACATATATGCAGTGCTTCCCAGTTAATTTGATTAACAACTTAGGTTATTATTGTGCTTTTTTTCTTTTAAAGTGTAAGCTTCCATAGACAAAGATAAAAGGACAGAAATTCCAGCCATAGCTGTAGGAGAGGAATATCCATTCCCACAAGCAGCATCTCCTGCAGAACAGTCACTGGATTTAAACACTGCTGCAGTTCCCTTTGGGGGTTGCTAAAGTGAATTCCCTCCTCCTTTCAGTTTAAGGTGTTACAGGGACTCCTTGCTCCACTTTTTGGTCTCAGAGACACAAGATCTAGGTGGTTACAGCATCTTCTTGCAGACCCAGAGGGAGGAGTGTAAGCTTTGCTTTAGAACCATGACTGAGCTGTAGGTGGTAGCTGGGAAGTCAGTGATAGACATCACATGATGTTCTGCTCCATCGGCTGCAGAACCAGGCCATTAAGCTGCTGTGATTAAGGTATGCTGGTCTACAGCCAGGCAGGCTCTAACCTTGACCTTTAATAGGTGAATACCATGGTTTGAAACACTCCTGCTTTGCTCTCCGGAGTAGGGACTGTGATTACCTTGTTAGAGACCAGAGAGAAGAGGGACCACCTTGGGAAGGTCCTTCGTTTTGTACCAACAAACCTCTGAAAGCTGTACGATGGAGAACATGAAGTATTCCCCACAAGAAGGCTTTGGCATAGGGTTTTGCCAAGGACAGGGGCAGGAGAGTGCAAACCCACTGAATGTCACCTCCACAGAGTGGATATGCTGCGGGAGAATATTCCTTCTTGCACAAATCCAGCACAAATCCCAATCCCCAGCCTCAGTGTCAAAACCTCAAATCCTATTGTGCAACTTTCAAGACCCCAACTGGGATGACTTGGGAGGGAGTTACCCAGGCAAAGGAGCTCTGCACGTCACAGTAATGCTCCACAGGCCCAGCAGCAGCAAAAATGTCACCTCAGTACTTTACGTTTTTAGCCCTTCCATATATACAGGAGCACTGAGAGCACCTCACACTAATTAACAAGCTGCTCTGTATCTTTGTGCGTTACCTTTCTTTTTCCCCTTTGATTCACATACAAATTATTTTTAGAAAAGGGAAAAAGTTTCCTCTTTAAAAAAAAAAAAAAGAAGTGAGGTGAGGTCTGGGACCGTTCATCTGCCCTGTTCATCACCTCAGCAGTGTATTAGGTTTGTGAGACGGTGGAGGAGGGAGAAAACATGGAGGGTGCCTTCACTCCTGTCATCTCCCTCACCCCAAAGCCTCCCAGGTCCTCAGCAGGAGCCAGCTCCCTTTCTTCCTCCCCCTCAAAAAGCCCTGTGGTTTTATTCACTAAATCCTGATATGTATCTCTGACCTGTGCTCTGCCCACTTTCCATCATTTTTGTAAGGGAAAGCTGTTGTTCCGAGGCAGTTTGTTTTTATGGGGTACCTGTGGGTGACACACACCTGGTGACACCTCCAGCCTTACACTGCAGGCACCACGTGATGGCACAGGCACATCAGATATTTGGTTCGGGTGTCGAGTTCTTGGGCAATTCTGGGCCAAGAAAAGTGACCTGCAGAGACCATTTTAAATCCTGCTAATTACAGTATCCCTGAATTTGCTCTAGTTTTTTTCCAGGTTGAATTTAGCAAAGACAGGAGTGCAGAAAGGCACTCTTGCTTTTCTGCTTGGGCACTGAGCTCTGACACACTGGAGGATGTCGTCTTTCATTATTAACTTTGGCAGCATTTAAATTAAGTAATATCTTGACAGGGGAAAGGAAGGCAATGAAGGGCCCTGGGAATATTTTTTTTCTCCTGTTTAATTGTACTGCATTTGATGTGTTCCAAAAAACACTAGAAGAGCTGCTCTTCAGAGACCAAAAAAAAGTTTATAAACCCCCACCAGTTGAGGTAGTTTGGCAGCACATAGAAGGATGGAGAATTATCATCTGTCCAGGGAAATCCACCCCCCACTCCTCCCAACCCTCTTTCAGCTGGTGCACGCAAGATGTTCCTGCTCACTTCATCTTCAAACATTTAAACACTTTGAGGACCACACACCTACAGTGCGTTATTTGCAGGGCTTTCTAAGCCGAAATCCAGCGTGTGTGTGTATCTGTGGGTGGGAATGGCTGGATAATGTTACCCTGATAGCTGATGATAATATTTCTACCAATTGTTAAGCTTCCTAAGTCTCCACTTTGCAAATGCTTCAGCGGATCGGTTTCTGAAAAACGCAGCTTTCCTTGCTTGGGGAAAAGGGACGAGTCAATAATGCGTTTGTGCAGATTATCTTGGAGACTCTGATTTACTCCAGAGAAAAAAAGTCTCCCTTACACAAATGCACCTTTCTAAACACTTCAGGGGTCGCATGGTTCACTGCAGGGTTGTGTCAGTGCAGCCATAAAATGAGGCGGCCGTTCAAGCTGTCTCGGGCTGGCAGCGTAGCAGGTCCTGCAGAAACACAGATGTGCCGGGTCTGAGCTTTAAAAGTGGCTCCCTCCTTGTGAGCTCTCTGCTTTGAGTCCAAATAGACATTAGGAAAACGTGTGAGGGACAAAGGAGTGTGTTCCTTCAGTGTTTCAGGGGGGGAAAAGCGTGGGAGGAGAGATAATTTTGATGAGTCAAATTCCTGATTCCCTTCAGACCTGCAAAGTCAGTGGGAGTTGCTTCGCTTTCATCTTAACATGCAAAGATGGGTGAAGTTAGAACAAAGGAAGGTGGAAAAAAATAAATAAGCTTTTTTTATAAAGCTAGTTTAAGGAAGACCAAAAGAAACAGTAATGTTCTTGGTGTAAGGGACAAAAGCAAAACAACACTACTATTCTGCATAACATACTCTTTATCTCAGAATACTTATTCAGGTATTGGCATCTGAGAAGTCCTCTGCTCATCTTTTTTCCATTTCCTCTGCCATGGTGACTCTTCTGGGCTGTACATGCCTCACACAAAGCATAATATCTTCTGAGACTTTGTTAAAATATTATTTAAGACCGACTTCTGGCCCAATTCTTCTGACTTTATCATGCCTTTGCTTCGTATTTTCCATCAGTGCTTCTGCTTCATCCACTGCATTAAGGCACAAAATTCTTGTTTTGAACCAAGATATTTACAAGTTAGATCCCCCATATCCTTCTTCTCAGCTGTTTTTGTCCCAAATCAACCAAACCTGACTCTACACATCTCCCTGAAGCAATCGCAGTCTCAAAACTTCTCAAACTCCACAAATTAACAATTTCTTTTGGGGCAGGGATCCATTTGCAGCCACTCCAAATTTACCTCAGTTATAGTACTGAGAGATTTTGCATCTCAAGTTCTGCATGAATGATCTGTTTAGTCTTGTGGCAGAGAACATCCTTTAAGAGATCTGTGGGAAGCAATTTAGATATGTAAACCTGTTTGTTAGAGTGCTTAAATGTGCCATAGAACAAAAAAATCCTATGGATTCACAATTCAAAATGAGTTGAAAAGTCAGTTTGGATATCGAAGATTTCCTGATGCTAAATGGTTCTGACTTCAATAAAATCATCTGGATTCTGTTCCCATCCTAATGTTAGGCTCCCTTACTCTTATCCTGAGAACTCCCTGGCTTGAAGGAGCACTCTTTCTTCTGGAGAGCCCTGAAGAAATAGCTTATACAAAAAGTCTATCTGTGCACAAGGGGAAAAAAGCCAGCACTAAGGATAAGGTAAGCAGTAGCAATGAATCATGTATTTCACTCAGAAAGCAGAGAGCTCCAGTTTTGTTTATCTTTTGTGTGGACAAGTTCCCTGGTCTGGGTTCCTATCTTTTTTTGAAAGTCCCATCCCCCATCACACCCCAGCTGACAGCCTCATTGTCCCAATGGCTGTCGTGGGAAGTCATGATAGATGGCTAAACCACGACCCTTTTAGGAGTTGTGTGTTCATATTATGCTCAGAGACCTTTTTTGATCAATAGTCAATTCAAACATTTTCACTCATGGATACACTCAAATATATTTATGATTATAGCATATGTATGTATAAATAAGTGGTTGGAGAATTGTTAGGATGAGCAGAACTACTTCAAGAGGTTTCAGTGCTTTGGAACCCAAAGCAGTGGTATCATGAGTAAATGTGGTCATTTGCAGTGTTTGCAATATTTTTTTTTACTATTTTAGTCAAAGGAAGAGCAGCCAGAATATTTCCATTGTGGGGAGCATAGAGACTTGAAATAACTAGGGTTTGATACTAGCCATATTGCACTTCACTTTTCCTCAGCACAGAATGCCAGCTTGTTTCTTCAAATTAAGACAATATGCTTATAGTGATGAACCTTATTGGCCATCTATCTTCCTTTTGTAATCTGGCTCTCATCAAGCTGAAATGAAGCCATTTCTTCTGACTGTGGCTGATTAAACACAGAGTAAACCTAGATCTCTGAGGAGGCTCTAATGATTCTCCACAGGCCTAGTGTCAGCCCGGCACCTGCAGCATTCAGCTTCCCCATTTCCATCATAAAATGAAGCATCTGTTACAGAGAAGTGTTATCTTTTTATCATCGATGGTATCTTTCTGTTTGAATTCACCTACCCCATTTGGTATAAATTACAGCCATTTCATATGTAATGAATGGTCACACAGGATGCACTCTGGTTATTGGGGGTTAAAAGGGCACAAAATCCTTTTACTAAACCTTTATTTAACTTGGTGAAAGTTAAGACTACATGGCTTGTGTAAAACCTTCTTTATTACAACAAACAGGAGGAAATACTTACCGCAGCTTAATGCTGAAGCATTTTGATATTGCTTATCTAAATACTGGCCTTTGAGTTTTTTGGAAGCAATTCCTGGAGAAACATTATTAGTTGCAGGGAAAAGAAACAGAGAAACATGTTTGTGCCAAAGACATTTCTGTCTCAGTAACTTGATTAACTATAAGCCTGAAACCTAAAAGTAGACAAGATTTGTTTGCTAGAAAGGGTGGTTGCCAGCTTAGAACCTGCTGCAAATCCCACAGAAGTCACCTGGCATATTTTCAATTATTTCAACAGCATTTGTTTGGATCAGGCCAAAGATCAGCTGCCTGTTTACATTTTGTGTGGTCCACATGGTCCTCTATGTTTTACCTTCTCCAGTTTTCCATCTGAGCTGAAATAGGCAACCTCATCTCAGAAACAATTTTTTTTCAGTTGATGGGGATTTGGGTCATAACTTTGCCAAGCGTTTTGTTGTTTCCCGCCTACAACGTGGGCAGTCCAGACAACCTCCCATCTCAAAGAACGAAAGAAAAACTTCCAAAGACACTAACTCGGAAGTAAAACTTTGCTCATTGAAGTAGTAATATAATCGATGGTAAAAACAGTTGTAAAACTGCTGAATAATTCCACCTATTAACATGTAGCTACAGGATACAGAGGTGGGGGTAACAACTGCAAAACGGCCTTCCTGGTCACATGAATGTGAAAGACGTTGTTGTAACATAACAACCACTTTGATAACATCTAAAGATTGCAAATAAGAGATGGCTTGCTGTGTTTGATGTTGTAAGTACAGATAAGGTCTTCAGTGAACCAAAGAACAGCAGAGAGAGAGAGAGACTCTAAAGCAGCTTGCTCAGGTATTGGTATGAGACTGAAGGAGACCAAAGATCAGCACCACCTACTTCTTGGAAAATTCTTGAGGTGTTGCATTAAACCGGGACAGGGAAGGCAGTTACAGTCCAAAGCATTTCATTCCACTCATCATCCTGTGCCACGCTCTGAACAGGACATGCCACCACTGAAGTCACCGTGATCCACAGCCCAGCCTAGTTCAGCAGTGCCCTCAGGCTCCACATTTCTCCTGCGTGATAAGTGTTAATGGATTAATCTTGCCAGGACTGTCTGAGATTTCTTTTCCTCATTTTTGTTAACAGGTATAGAAGGTGCAGTGGGCATACAGTGGTACTGCCAGTGTTCTATTGAATTACAGAGGTTGAACAATCAAAAAGGAAATTATGATCACCAAAATATAACATAGCAACAGCCTCTTTGGTGGATCATTTGCCAAGGTATTTTCCATAGTACTTTACACATGAAATAATTTTACAGCATAAAAGTAACTTAAAATAATGAACTTTATTGTCAAGATTAGACTTTCAACTACCTGTTGAATTGCTTAACAGACCCATTGGGGGTAAAAATCATCCTTGTGAAAATTAAGAACAGTGAACAATTTTGTACCAACGTGTAATTTCATGATTGTTTTGCAAGCCTGCATTATGTGGCCACTTTCTGCTGATCCATTTTGTAGCAAGCAAAATCATATTGTCCTACCACAAGAGCACACTTGTTATTCAAAATAATTAGGACATGAGTCATCTTAGTATCAAAGTTGGCATTAGTGATATATGGAGCTGATGACTGATGAGTCCAATGAACATTTGACTCATGTAGACTTGAAATATGCAGCTGAAAAGCTCAGTTAATTCAGAAGAGACACAGCATAGCTGTGATAGCATCTTGTAAAAGCAAGATCCAAGACAAGTAGAAATGCAGTAACACCAGTGATGAAATCAGCTGAGGTCTTTGGATTTCTCAGAACAGCTGAAAAATGGAAGAACTTTTCCATTAAAAAATTCAAAACTCCATTGTTTTCCCCTTGACAAGGTACGAAATGTAATAATTTTTTTTCCTACTGTTTACATGATATTTTTGTAAGCACTGGGATTATTTTTGTTCCCTGTCCATTTCCTTTCATTTTTCCTTTTTGTTACTTTAGTTGAATAAGTGAACGATATCCAAAATTTCAGTTTGGTTTGGAAAAGTTATAACAGCAGAAAGAAAAATGAAACTAGTTTAACCACTTTAGAGAGTTTCAATTTTCCTTTGTTCTCTTCTGTAACTTCTCCAAAATTCAAGATTTGTAAGAGTTAGTTTGAAAATAAGAAAAATAGGGAGAAGAAGGATGAGGAGTGCAAAAGGAGGGAAAAGAAAAATAAAGGGGAAAATCCAAACTACTAGTTATCCTCTTAGAGGGAAAAAAAAAAAGGACAAATGGGGAAATAGGTGTTTAATGTTTGTTTCAAATAAAAGATAGAAATAGGAAAATCTGAAAAGAAGCTTTTGTTTTATTCTTTTCTTGTGGATGCCAACTATTCCCCTGTCAGCAACTGTCTAATTGACTAATACAGTGAACATGTGGCAACTATTTTCAACTGTATTTAGCCAAGTCTGCTGCTGTGTTTCAGATGTAATGAAGGCTTCTAATGTCCAGTAGTTTTTCCAGCTTTACTATGGGATCTAACAAAAGCCATCGCCCCTAACAGCCTTTGGCTTAGTTTAAAAAATAGTAATGTTTGCATCTAAATATGATTTAGGGCACCATCAAGGTATAAACCTGTGTCTGATACAGTTAGTTCTAAAGGTCAGCTCCTGGAAGGACTTCCAGTCAAAAAGGTGTCCCAAAATCAACTACCTTCGAAGCTGTTTCACAGACTTGTAAAACTGGACACCCTGAGGCAAACAGAAAGCAATCAGAGCCAGAAACTCCACTGAGTGTTTTTTCCTCCGTGGGACGGGTCTGAGTGACGTGAGGGAGTTCCCCACCTTTGTGTTAGATCCAAATCTTGACTGTAATTGGAGTCAACAGGATGTAAAGCAGTGGGGACCATCACAAACTGCACATTTGACTGCTGACTGTAAAATTTAAAGGACCGTGTTTCTCCCTGACACCGTAGAAATCCGGTTTGTAATGGGTCAAATATAAACATTTAAAAATTGGGAGAAGAATACTTGATTATCTCCCCAACAATTGCAAACATCAATGCATCTAATCACAAGCTTAATATTAAAGGATTTGAGGTCTCTGGTACCAGTTTTAGGTTTATAATTAGACCTATAGTACAGTGTTCCCCCCTAGAAAAAAATTTGATGGTTTCACTCCTCTTATTCTTTTTTTAAAGAGATGCTCTTTTACGTTTAAAATCTACTAATGACACAACTGTATTTGTAATCAAGTGTCTTCTTGCTGTAAGATTTTTTTCTTCACTGATTCAAATGCTGTAATATATATAGCTCATATATAATGGTGTCTGTAGAGGCTCCATTAATGGACTGAGACCATTCAATGCTTTATTCCAAGCCATCAAATCATTCTGTAGTTATTCTGGGGAAAAAATTACCCGAGCTGGAATGAAATATCAGAGGTGGACACCAACTTAGATGATTGTGAAGAACAATATGTGAAAAATGTTGTGATCATGGCAGATGAAGAAACTTTGAGATGAAATTGGTCTTTCACAGTAATATCAGTTCTCTTCATCAACAACAATGTATCTGGACAATGAGCCAGTGTCATTGACTTTCCCCATTTTAAAGGCCTTTAATACTGATTACTGCCCAGTGAACAAAAGCTTTTCTTGTGAGGAGTCTGAAAAGGTTGATTATATGTACATTACAGCTGAAAATGGATCAGACAAGTAGTAAGTTATGAAAGTACGAACACAAGAGAATAAGACCATTCACTGAGCTTGAATTACTTTAGTTTATCTTCTTAGGCTGAATTGTGGCTGTGGTCTTTTTGCAACTCAAATAAAAAGCGCAGATCAAGATGAGATAAAGATAACGGAGTATTGCCAGCATTAGGCAATAAAATCAGTAGCTGGAATGGAAGAAAACTTTGATAACCACACAGAAAAAATGTTAAAAGTTACAGTGATACTGGAAAAGGCCCTCTGTAGCTACTGCAGTTGAATAACTTAGGCACTAGGACAATAAAAAGATACAAACATCTGCTCTTTCATTTCTTTATAAAGAGATTTGGAACTGAAATTATTCTGACCAGCTGAAGGGACTGTCTCTGATGTTCCAGTTAAACATCGTTTGAAAACTTCCAAGAGTTGAGAGTGGGTAACAACTTTCATATTAGGGCCCACACAGGATGGGGAACTTCATTCAAAATTCAAAGTTCTGCTTTACACTGGGGAAAATGAAACAATTCTATTCAAAAAAGATGTTTGGTTCTCAAAACAAAAATCCCAAGGTGCTTTAAAATCATGTTTCTTTTCATATCTTATAAAAAAAGTTAAGTTTTAATTACTTTATGCTTCTTTTAGCATGAAGGAGGCAAAAAAGCCATCACTGGAAGGATGTGATATCGGAATTCGTGTTGGTAGCAAGAGCTCACACCTCAACAGGAACACAGCCTGGTCTAAAAGGCTGAGCAGTTTGCAGATTGAGCAGTCAGGAAAAACATCCCACAAATTTGTTTTAAAAATGCATATTTTCTCTAACAGTCCCAATAAAAACCGTGGAATCTCCATTGTTATTCCTGTGCGACAAAATGCACAGTTTTTAAAACAAAACATCCTAAATTAAATTTTAGCCACTGCATTAAAGGGTCATTTCCAAAAGATGAAAGTACATTCTGTGGCAGTGTAAAAGGATAATAGAGGGCAAAAGAGAATTACAACACACTAGTATTACGGAAAAAAGAGCGTGAGTTGTGATATCCATGAAATGTTGGATTTTCCGCTATTCACAAGGCTCTGCATTCTTAATATCTGTAAAGAATGGTCATCTCACTTGCTAAAATATAACCCAAATGCTCAAGCCACAAGGCTAAACTACTCTAAAGTAGCCACTCCATCCAGCTGATTCTGCCATTTAGCACTTCTCCTGTAACATCAGTGGTGTAACCTTAGTCCCCAGAAATTGGAGGGCGAGTTATGCCGTTGACCTCGGTCTGATCAGGCTCGAGGACAAGCAGCTGTGCAGTCCCTTGAGGCCACAAGCCATGGGGAAACTCCAGGGCTCTGGAAGATGAAAACAGACCCAGAGGCCTCAGCTGAAGGAGAAAGTCAGAGTTGTAACCTCTCCCTATGGCTGCCAGGAACCTGAACCAGTGGGGCCAGGCTATCATAGGGTCATAGATTGGTTTGGGTTGGAAGGGACCTTAAAAATCGCCTCATTCCATCCCCTGCCATGGGCAAGGACATCTTCCACTAGACCTGGACACTCCATACCCCATCCAGCCTAGTCTTGAACACTTCCAGCGACCTGTTCCACCCTGACAGTAAAGAATTTTTTCCATAAATATAAATTAAACCTGCCCTCTTTCAGTTTAAAGCCATTGTGTCTTGTCCTATAACTACATGTCATTGTTAAAAGTCCCTCTCAGCTCTCTTGGGTGCCCCTTTAGGCACTGGAAGATGCTGTAAGGTCTCCCCAGGGCCGTCTCTTCTCCAGGCCTGAACGACCCTAATTCTCTCAGCCTGTCTCCATAGTAGAGCTGTTCCAAATCTTGGATCATCTTCATGGACTACTCTGAACTCGCTCCAACAGGTCCACACCCTTCATATTCTGGGTGTCCCAGAGCTGGATGCAGTACTCCTGCTGAGGTCTCACAAGAGTTCACCCAGTTTATCTCAGCTGAGGCACATGAAAATAAAGAAATTCCAAATCAGTGCCCACCTGATGAACCACAGGAAAGTGCTGAGGCAGCCCCACGTGCAAACAGCCAGCGTTGGCCACTGGCTCTTTGGTGTTTACCTATGCTAAATGTACCCTATTGTACAGATAAATTCATGTGTGCATGTCTTCAGACACATTGTTTAAACACCAAACAGCCTTGGATTAAATACTAGGGGCCATGTGAGAACCCTCACTCCTTTTCACTGCATGTCCCACGCTCCAATGTGCAAGCCTGGATGTACCCATGCACGTACACCTGCATGCAACAACTGTCTTCTCAGTCACAGACAAGAATTTGCTAATTAATGTTTCTTAAAATTAATATTTTTGCCAGTCAGAATTAGTCACACATGAAGCATCCCGAGCTTCGAGAAGGCTGTCTTAATTAAAGTTTTATCTGTCACTTAATGGAAGAATTATTGCCAATTTTGATCGCTCTGTTTTTCTTTCGGATAACAGTAGTGTTCTATCAGCCTTTGTATCCCTGTATACAAAGCAAAATTTCTTTCAGGTTTCAAATGCTGGCTGATTTATTTTACAATATTTTACTGCATCTTAAGGTGTCTCAGATCCAATGCTCTCACCCAGCATAGAGCAGAAGCCACAAAAACAGGTGAACCCACGAAAGGAAAGGACACTGCACGTGACATGACATAATTTGTGGAATGCAATACCAGTTGCACAGCTTTGTTTTCACCTACTTTTCATCAGACATTTTCATCTGCAAAAGGCCATCAAATTACTGCTTCTGGGGACAACAGAAGGTTCTACTTTCTTTTTTTAATCAAATAACAATTCAGCAACATTGATTTCTCTAACAAATGGTCTATTGCCCTTATGCAAGTCTGGAATAATAGCACTGACATGCATGGAATTCAATCTGGAGTCATTCAGGAGCAGCTGAGATCCAAATTCCCCAATCAGTAACATTTTGTTCCAGATTGCAAAACTTCTTGTTAGAACACAAACACTCTTTTTATGAAAAGATTTTAAATGAGTTGTTAGTGACGTCTTCACAGAGAGAGATGGAGAATTTATTTGCACTTCACAAAGAACCTCTTCCTCTCTTCAAAGCACCAGTTGTTTTAATTTAAACTAATATTAAAAGTTTCTTGCCCTGAGCCTGCTGTTGGATATACAACTGTACAGCATCTCTTTATCAGCGTAGGAGTGCAATGGCATAAAGACCATGCACTGAAGTGAGACATATCCTTACATTACTTCCCTTAGATTGCTGGAATTAATCCAGATTTACACACCACTCATCCATAAGGGAGGGTTAGTGCCTGATTCTTTCCTCATAACCATGGAGTCTATCCAAACTGCAGGGAAGACAAACAGCTCTATATATTTTAATTGAAAAGAATGGGTTGGTAAATCAAAATCTGCCTTTTTCCAGTCACAGATTCAGAAAGCTGAATCAAGTGACAGTGTGTCCCAGAAACTGCATTGTCACCAATACAGTGGCATAAATCAGGAAGGCTTTGGTGGCACTTCTTAGGCCTTTTTCACTTAAAATAATAAAGAAAAGAAACCCGCAAGCAGCCAATCTTCCCTCTGTGCCACGCTGACGTCAGGAAACACAGAAATCTACAGAATTCTCTTTAAAGTATTTTGGCTGCATGCAGTGGAGCTTTAATAGGATCAGCTCTTTCCTGACAGGTCACAGTATGCTGACTAAGTTTAGTTACACTTTATGATTTCAAAGGCTTCTTCCCAAAAGATATTCCCCTCTCCGCTCTGTTGTTTTTTTAAGAGTGCAATGATCAAAGTGCTTTTCGAAATGTTATTCATGACTACTTCAAGCTAAAAAATGAAACCTAAAGTGATTCCAAGCAGCATTTCATTTTAATTTAAGTGATGCATAAATTTTGCATGACTGCTCAGCTTCAACCACTATAGGTAATAAACAGTTAGTTAAAATATTTACCATTACCTATCAAACTGCAATTTAATATGTGAACAGTTCTATTAGTGTGAAATGATACCATGTGCATCCCAAAAGCTGAAGAGATGCCTGAGATCTTTAAACCAGCACAAGGGTGCTGGATGCCACAAAGAATTCAGCCAACAAGATACAAGTGAAACAGAGTCATCACCTTTGGTTTAATGGCTGTTTTATTCAAGCTTCGAGTTGTATGGAACAAAAGTTTAAAAAACTTGAAAGTTTTATTATTGTAAATGAAAGGGAGAAAGAGGAATATTTCTGCCACTTGCACAGAGTATCTCATGCACGCAACAAGAAATGCAGCCATGTACAGGACTTCAGCAGACATGGCAAGTAGTCTCCACACCAAGTTTATGGTTTTATGGTGTTATCTAAAAGACCCACTTAATGAAAGCTGCATATTTACCTTCTGAGGAAAACCCAAGCTCTTTCTGCAGGATTTAAACATGCTATTCCAGGGAAATGTATGTTTTCCATGCTTTATGCTCAGACTACCAAACGTCCTGCACCAGCACCCATTACATGGTCCAGTGAGAGTTAAGGGCAACCTACTTCCCCCCAAAACCAGACTTTTTATTCATTTCACCACTTTTTCTGAAATATAGGGCTTCTCCAGGGGACCAACTTCAGCTTATAAGTAGGTAGTATATAATGACATAACATTCTAGGCACAGTGACTGCAAAGGTACACCCATCACATGCGAAAGGTTGTTAGCAAAAAACACTGCCATCCCTTTGCTACCCTTGGAAAAAAATGAAGGGGAAAAAGACATTAAATGCTAGAACAGAGAAGGGGGAGCCACTCGCATTTGTGCTGTGGATTCTCTCCAGTTTGGAGGCTGAGAAGTTAATGTATGCAGCTCTTCTTTTTCCCTCGTGTTATTCATACAACTTAACTCTGGTTGCCTCCTCCTCATCCCTCCTGCTTCGCCTCATGCTTCTCAAAAGGCATTTCTCTGCACGGCACATCAGAAACTAAAAATCTAAGTTGCTATCTTACTTCCAAACCAAGCTGTTGTCAGCATTAAACCTACACAATGCATTACAATATAATCCATTTACAGGGTGTCTTATCATGCAAATAACTCAAGGTGCCTCACAATAAAATAAAAAAGGACGAGAGGAATAAACCTCAGCCATTGGAACACACAAAAAAGAAACCTTGAAATTTACTTTTAAACACACTAATGGTTCTTTTCTCCCAGTGAGGCATGAAGAGGGACAGGGCAGAGGATTTGACCAAGGAATTCCTATTAGCATTTGATGGGACTTAAATGTGCAAATCCACCCCAAGATCACTGGGAGACCAGACTCCTTAAAAGGAGAAACTTCCTTGATATCTTGAAGAGAGAAGATTCATAAAGGCAGAAATGTTAGAGGAAACCTTGGTCACCAAAACATCATCTTGTTGGCTTAGATCTAAGCAAGAGTAAGGCTTGAATGATCTGATTTGAGATAGGAGCCGTGAAGGTCCCCCACAACACAGAAGCAGAAATACTCTTTAAAAATAAGAATAGCTTTATCCAGGACTTACTTCTGACTCATTTCCAAAAAGGATCTTGGTTTAAATTAATGTTCCATTATCAGCGTAAAATAGCAAATAAAAGGCGCTTTTCCCCTTCCTACTTAATTTGTTTTCATTTTTCATAGTTTTTCCTTAGACTGTTATAAACGTCTCTTTGGAAGAGATGGATTGGCATTTTCCTGCCTCTCCTTTGCCCCCCTGGGTTGGAGCATGAAGCAGTCGGAGGCACCAAGCAGATTGACTGTCCCAGGAGCAGAACATGGGAGGAACAGGAACCAAACCACATTGTTCTT